GTAACTATTAGTACCCCGGAAATGGTCACATCGATCTTTCAGCCATGATATCAAAACCGAAGAAGAGGACCACCAGAATGACGGCTCAGACCACTATTAAATAGTGAGGTAAAACAGTGTCCACAGTTAGAAAATCAAACTTCACTTCCATCTACTTCTTCGGGAACCCATAGCAGCAGAACCGATTCCCCGAAACACTACTGCTAGCCGACTGCAGAGGTTCGAATACTCTTGCAAACTGGCCAGTGGGATCTTGTTGCCATCACCGAAACTTGGTTGACTGCCTATATTCTCGATTCTGAATTGCACCTACCCGGAATTTCGCTGTTGAGGCATGATAGTTCTACACGAGGTGGTGGTGTGCTGCTATATTTCCGCAGCAACCTTCAATGTGAACCACTCGATATCTTCGATGCAGCCCCCGACACATTTTGGTGCACAATGAAGCTGTCCGAAGATAGTAATTGTTTGATCGGTGTAGTCTACCGCTCTCATGCATCCTCAGACTTATCTAACGAGGAACTATGAGAAATATTCTTTCAGTAAAGTTCACTCATGTTCTCATAATGGGACTTCAATTGTCCCAATTTTATGAAAAGGCCAGAACTATCACCACCCATTCGAGCGAAAATTATCACAGTTTATAGACCCACATCCGATGTATAATCACGTGAAGGATCACACTAGATTTGGAATAGGCCACCAACCATTAACATTGGACTTGGTATTGACAAGCGACGAGCTTATGGTCGAATCGGCCGAAATAACGTCTCCATTGGGACGAAGCGACCATGCAATTCTCCTTTTCGATTACATTTACCACACCTCAATAGACATATGCCTGAAAACCAACACACGCACCGTTATTGACTATAATGAATTGCTGAACCTTGCCACTGTCAAACAATGGACACAACCAGAAGAGAAGCTAGATCCACTGGAGTCCTGGAAAAGTTCATTGAAACACTGACAGAACTCATAACGGTTACCACAAAAACCAAGCCTATCGGTACTTTGCCTACACGATTATCACCTATCCGTAGTCGAACCAAGAAATGGATGTCACAAAGGAATTTCTCCTGGCGAGAGTTCAGAAGATGTTCGACCACCGACACTTGGAATAATTATATCATGTTGAGAAACCTTTGTGTAGAATTAGTGCGAGAGGATAAGCGGAGGTTTCAAGAAACTCCAACACAAATTTATTGCCAATCAAAAGCTACTGTTTAAGCATATCAATGCTACCAGAAAAGTGAAATATGGAACACCGGCACTAAGACATGCAGGACGCATTTCCACGATTACTGCTGAAGCAGCCGAATTCGTAAAAGTCCAGTTTTATGGAGTTTTCACTGCAGGTAACAAAGGCGGATTACAGCTTCCACACCTCCAATCAAGTGTCTCATACCCCCAACTGACCACCATCACGTTCAACTCTGAAACGGTTAGAAACAAACTATTTGCGCCGAGCCGGAATTCTTCTCCAGGGGAAAACAACATGCGGCTACAGACTCTGACATCCTTGGCAAATCACATATCTGAAATAATTGCTGATTTATACCAAAGAGTATTCTACAAGACAAAGATCCCTCAATCCTAGAAAAACGGCATCATTCCGCCTATTTACAAAGATGGCTGTAGAAGTTATCCTGCGAACTACCGTCCAGTCACCCTTCTTATTCTGCCAGAAGTAATGGAATCGATTGTTGCTGATTCTTTGATGGATCATTTGGAGAAGAATAGTATACTTTCGCCGGCCAAACACGGGTTTCGAAGGAAACGCTCATGCACCACAAACCTGCTACTTGCACGAGATAAATGGACAAGATCAGACGACGCGGGAGAGGCAGCAGACGTAGTCCTTTTAGACTTCTCCAAAGCTTTTGACAGGATTAACTACCATAAATTACTGCGAAGGATCCATAATTACGGTGTCCGAGGAATGCTACTGGACTGAATTGAGGATTTATTCGACAACGTACCGTATCGGTTCGAGTTAATGTTCTCTGTAGGAACCGATTGAGGCTGCCCGTGGAGTTCCACAAGGATCCGTACCTCTTCCTAGCATTCATAAACGACAAACCAGATTTCCTTGGAGAAACGGCATTATTATTCGCTTATGACGCCAAAACACGGAAGACGGTAAAATATCCTGAAGAGTATGAAACTCTGCAGGGAACTGTCGACGCAGTTTGTCGATGGTCCATCATTAATGACATCGAATTCAACGTTGAAAAATGCAAGGCTGTATCACTGCGCCACAGGGGTCGCTTTCCATACTTACTTGGAACTGCAACCAAAATGGTCATAAGGTTACAATCTAACACCTGCGATGAAAGGTTGCGAATTCTCGGACTCTATTTGTCTGAATACCGTCGAAAAGGAGAGACATGATCCTCGTATACTACATCCACCTAACCACCCTTGTAGTACTCCACTAAGGCTATCCAGAAATGGTCACCTCCGAGGACATCCGTTTAAAATTCTGCTCCAAAAGAGCCGGCTCGACTGTAGGCGCAATTCTTTTAGCCTCATAGTTTGTAACACCTGGAACTCTCTTCCATCTCAAATTGTTTGTGCACCAACTATCAATTCATTCAAGTCACGACTGGATGAAGCGTTGAACCACCTAACTATTCATTACCCGTGAGTGAACGTGAGAATTTGCTATTCAGTTGTACTACCAACCGAACACAGTATGTACAGACCCTATGGGACCAAATAAGCATCTGTTTTGTGATTTACCCATAATAAAAAATTTGAATTTGAAATTTGATTCTGACAGCCAACAAACAGCAACTAAAAACCGGCGTACGAAAATGCCTGGTTATATGTTGTACAAACTGAAACTGAAAGGTGTGCTTGGGCTACATTTATGCCCAAAAGTCACCACAATCTTTTAGCTTTACGTTAAGTGTTCTTCAGCTTCTCACTAGTTTTCTTTGATTTGCTCAAAAATAGCAAACAATTTTCATTAAAAAACAAAAATCAAAACCGGAAAACAGATGGAGAGAATAAAACTGACTGAAAGCACTGTATTCATTTCCTGTGCAACTGCAGCTTTTATTTTGCTGTACATCATTTGCATCATCTATCGGACTGTACATGTTTGCTGAGAGCACTGACTATCCGACGCATAGCAAACATTCAAGCACATCGACACATGGATAAACATGCAATCATCTGACTGTCTGGATGGTTGTGCCTGTGTCAGTTTGGATTGTCATTTTTTATTGGTATAGATGTCAGAATTCATCTAACCCGTTCTGATCTTCACAAACTCATACACACACATACATACCTACACACACGCACACACATGAAAACACATTTCACCCGTTCTCAGTTTGAGTCGAATCTGTTTCCAATCCCGACCGCTTCGGTGCGACAAGTTGTTCCGACAGATATCGACTGGCTTCGAATTCAGGAAATAGCAAATCTAACTGTTTGACAAAACGTAACAGAGCGTGCAGATTCGGTGCGGCCACAGTGACCGGGCAGACACGTTTCCCGTGATAGTACAAAGCTGGTTCCACCGGTTGTGTACTGTCCACGGAATTTTGTGTTTGACCTAGTACCCGATTGGTATTTGCGGAACGTTGAATGTGTGCATGAAAATAGACCCGACAATGTGTGTCCCGTGCCAGTAGAGACACTTTGCCCGCATTCGCGAATGCGCGCATCGATTTCGGTTTATCTTCCACATAGAACACGTAACGCAACGGGAATGTGTCATCTTGGACGGTGGTGAACGGATCGATCGATTCGATATCGAATGACGACTCGCTTGCTGCCGTGATCAACGAATCGGACAAAATGTTTGAAGGGACTCTCCGATGTTGACGGCTATCTAATTGGGGAAACAGAACAGAAATTTGCGAATGATTTTGCATCAGAACCGATCTCGAAATGGTTTTGAACATAAGGTTAAAGTACATGGGAATGATGGATGCACAAAGGCAGTTCGATGAGCTGAAAATCATTCAAGGATTCAATATGAAAAGCTAAACTACGACAATGGGATGTTTATTTTAAATAAGTGGTAAATAAGTAGGATGATTTCTGTAAGCACGTNCATGGTTCCGAAGCAACAACAATAATAATAGAAGAAAGTAGAAATGGAATGCAGAGTAGGACGAAGTGGAAATCAAACAATTGTAAGGAACACAATAACAAGAAAATGAGCGTTTTACCAACCGCGTATCATAATCTATAACGTGTTTGACCTTTATCTTACCCATGACATATACGATGCACATTCGTGGATGCGTCTTGACTGTCAATAACCTTAACCTCATCTTATGACGTGCATCGGTCACATACAGAACACGAGGTTAACTGTCATATTACGACAAAACATGACATGCAGTGCACTTTCTTTCGATCAGTCGGTTTCGTATGTCTTTGTTTGTGTCAAACGACCCCCATTTAATTCATTAACTACTCCGTTTACCGTCCGTCGCTTTGACCGATATAACTGAGCGCCCATCTTCTCCATTTCCTCAGGCAGCCAATTCCTGAAAGTTGCCTCAAAATTTATGTACTCCGTGAATAAAAAATGAAGGAAAAAATGTATATCTACATATTTATATTGATATGTTTTAGTAATAGCTTAGGGGATATTTACACTGCATATGAAGAGCTTTGCTTGCATGTTTGGAAGCGGAATCTTCATCAAACTTTTATATGATGCTTTCGTTTTACATAATTCGTTTATTCATTAGACAGATTATTGTGTCCCTCTTAATTAAGGATGGAGTTCAAGGTTCGAATCACAGCGTCACTAAACCAAGGAATGGTGATCTCTCACAAGGATATGTATGAAACTAAAGCAGTGGTGCGTTAGAGTTCACTGAAACATTAATCTCATGTAGTAATCAGTGATCGATTCTTGATCACTGATGGATATTGATTACTCATGAATTAAATATATCACTTCATAAGCACTTCCATCTTGTCCCTGTACAATTGAGGAAATCATGGATCCCATTTTTGAAAGTCATACCAAATAAGGCCCGCGAAAACATATATATCCATATATCTATACATTCATTTTCTTTCTAGTTAAAGAGCACACAACGGTATAGTTTTCAGGAAGTATGAATCCGCCAGCCAAGGGGCTGCCATAGAACACATGCTGGGAAAAGTCGGGTAGTGGGATTCAAACACATGTCGTCCACCGGGCCACCACTGACCTCGTCTAAGCCGAAACAAGTCGTGTTACAATAACCTTTATAACACAGCTTACCGTAAGGATGATGTCAGTCATATCTTGCAACTTCTGATTGTTCGTTTGTTTTTTTCTATGCACCACTTTTGTGACTTTTTTCGTAGGAAATATTCAAACTGTTTTGCACGGAGCAGCACTAATCCACACTTTCATTGGTGAGCTGATTCTGTTACTTCTTGCTGACAGAAGAGGATCCTGCGTACCATTTTGGCACCTTCGCGGTGTTATCTGCCAAATCCGTTTGTGGTGCGCCTACATAAATGGTTTCATTTCCAGTCATGTCCCATCAGTGTTGTGTAATTACAAAGTATTCTGACTCCAGTAACCCAGTTTGAACGAAATAAAACTTATCTAATCATACATTATGATTGGGATTTTGGATAATCAATATGGCAAATCATTTGGCATCCGGAAATTGAAGGGATAAAATTACTCCGGAAAGTGGGTTATATTTCCTCACCTCGGTGGGACTATGGTCCGACAATGAAAGGATTAATAATGAGAATAATGATAATGTGAGTATTGATTACATTTATAGGTCATCTCCACAGACTAATGATAAATGGTATATTGAGTTCAGGTGAAAATTGGTAGACTGTACGAGATTTTTGGTGTGATCTGTATTGATCAGAGAACAAGACAACATATGCTCATTAATTATTTCCGATAGGTTACTACCAAACAAAGCATGATCTCGTAATTAGAGAAAAATGCCTCCTCCCAGAGGTTATTCGATCCGTATCTGAGTGCAAATGGTTCAACTGGTTGCGTAAAACAACTGCTGAGTAATGAAACACTTTGTGATGGTTCTTTTTGTCCTCCTTTTTCATTACCGGTTTCAATCAAATGACGCGTTTTATCAACGAACGAAACAGTCTAAACACTGGCTGCTTTAAGGGAATTAAAGGTTTTTCTATTCGTGCATGTGATTCATGCCAATTTGTACCGAAAGTACAAATAAGTAGTAATATACAAAGACGACTAAAATCATTTAGAATCTTGTATTAACTGATTCCACCTCAATAGAAAGAGTGCAAAAAGCCATTATTTACCAGCCTGAAACGTGCATTTACGATCAATGCGAACAGAAGAGCAAAAAAAGGGTGAGACACAAAAAATGTAAAAATACCGGGGGAGACTTTTGTGGTATTGTTGAACACAGTATTTATTATATTATTACTGTTTTGTCTGTGTTTGACTGCTACTTAGAAAAGCTCTAGAGTCCAGAAGAACCATTTGCAATGTTCACAAAATTGGTTTTGATTCCAACACTACATCCAAAGATATTCCATCAACTGGATTTATCGTTATTGAGGCCTCAATCGGATAAGCCTGAAGAACCATTTAGGTCAAATACGTCTTTACCTTGGTGCGAGTAATTGAGTGACCACAGTAGAACTGCTAGCAGTAGTTAAAAATTCTTGGCCATGATCAGTACCCCGGATTAGGGGCTGACGTGTGCGTTGCGTGTACTGTATGGTAATTACTCTTTGCTATGGACGGTTACCGTTACTCACGTTTTCTATTTTTTATCTGCACTGGAGCTTCAACAAGGTGTTAGCTCCAAAGAAACCACTGTTATAAAATTGACAAACAAATTGACGAAAACCTGGACATCGGATCATGCCCAAATGTGAACTCATTGCGAAATGCATCAAAAAGTTCAGAATGAGCACTTTTCTATTTAGTCAGTGCTCGGGCACATTAGGATACCACGGAGATTTTGGGTGTAGATGTGCACGATAGAATAAGTTGGTGTTTGGAGCGGGAAGAGGGAGTAGATTTACATGCATACAGTTTTATATGCTAAGAACGGTTGCCATCAGATGACATTTTCCAAGCACACTCCAAGAATGCATCAATATAACCGTCACGGATACTGTTTAACAGAACGGATGACGGAACTTGGGGAACACGACTGATCATTGTGAGGCCAAACAGCTTCAGCAGCTTGAAGTTAGCCTTCATCAAACTAGGGAAGATCACCGAAGAGCAGTATAGTGAAAACATACTGTTGTACAAAAGCTCCTATCACCAAATGAACAGAACTGAAGGGACCCAATCTTTTTGTCTGAAAGGAGATAGATACCTTCAAGCTTGTGAGGGAGATGGGATACGGTCCAAAGTAAAATAATATTTAAGGCATTCTTCAGAATCAAGATTCAGACCGGATAACATGGATTAAATAACTAGGCGGGATAACTTGATGTATGCTGTCAGTTATGACTGATTAGATTTGGAAATAGAAATGGCGAAGTTATCAACAAACTCAAAACAGCTTACGGGGAAGTAACAAATAAGATACTGGTGTAAGTTTCAAAAATGACAAGGTGATAAGATAGCCCTCTGAAGTACACATCAACCATTGACTGTCTAATTTTCAATTTGAAATAGTGATGTCATTAGGAGAGTAGTCTCCGAGCTATTCAAGAAGAGAAGATGAACAGCCGAAAGGTAACGGGCACAAAGTCAAATTGAGGAACGATCGGGAAATGCACATCGCGCAAACTCAGCTTTGTTGTTTAGAGCCTGACAAAAAAGAGAACCGCAGTATGAAGGGTATTCAGTGTGGAATGATTATTCTTGTATGCAAACCGATAAATGCCGTCGGAGGTGGTGACAAATAACTGAAGGCAATGTAGAACCAACTGCTTCATCAAATCAAAGCAGTAGAAAAGAGAGCAAATGGCCTGAAATGTTTCACATTTTGAGCTATGTTGATCCTTTGGGAATGGGTGGGTTTCTCATGAGGAGCTAACACTATAGAATGTTTCGGAGTTGTAGTGAAAGGTTAGCTTTGTACAAAAATGTAGGGCAGTGGATCAGCACCTTGTTCGAGAAGTATTGGACCTCATTTATCCTAACCGTGTACGGCTGTCATGTATTCATCTATGTATGTATGTATCTGTACACTTCACCAGAGACAATGGGTTTAAACGAAGTTGGGTTATTTGGAAAACTGGCATTTTTTAACTGGTGCATCTGTCAACCGAAGACAAACGAAATGAGGCATTCACATTGTCGACATCAAAATCACAGACGCGATAACGCAATCCTAAATAGGTAAATCTTCTTAGGTAGCAATTATTGAATACTATCCTAAATATAAACCAAAATTTTAAGAATATTTTTGTTGAACACTTGAATGGCACCATAGATGACCAGGGTTAGAGAAAGACGGTCAAAGTCCTACCTTTGTGGCGTATTAAAGGTTGAGTTTCCTTTCGGATCTTCCGTTCTGAAGGTGTTCATTGAAGAAAAAATGAAAGAATAATGAAATATGTGTATTTTTAAGGGCGAGNGTAACATACAGTCGAATGTGTTTTGTCAGCCTCCGTTGGTGGAAATGGTCGAATCGTCTGCCACCTTAATGATTGCAGTGGCATTTATTCTACTTCCTTCAGTACTTCCTTCAGTCGACTGGAATCAAGTCAAGTTAAAAATCTCTTTATTCATCCTAATGGATGGATTCTCAGCTTCTTGCACTCCGAGAACATTTATAGTCGCATACAGTCACAAAACAGTATCGTCAATTCAAAGGACTGTGTAGTAAAAAGTTTGAAAATTAATATCAATTGCATAGGGATTTCAAAACGTCTTCTCTAACGGATGCCTTTAAA